ATCACAAAGTCTCTCGATGTGTTCAGTGGCTTCCAATTCTGGTCGGTCACAAGACAAGACGTAGCAGGAGTTGGTGTGGATGTTTGACCTCTTCAAAGCTGCTTTTGAGGACAACTCTGAAATGTTTCCACTGTCTTCTTTGGATCAGTCTGCCACAGCAGAGTTCCAAGTACGGCAGCCAACATACAAATGGCATGTCCCACCCAGCAGAACTGGTTTTGAGAGATTAGCGCCCCGGGACTGGCTGTGTTGCCTTGGCAGAGGATTCTATCATTGGACTGTCTTTCTTGCCACCGGATTTGGAGGATCTTGTGAAGGCACAGCTGGTGTAATTTCCCAATCCTTTAGGATGCTGGTGTAGGTCATGTCGGCTGTTTCTCAAGCTTTAGGGGGCTCAGTTATGAACGTTGTCCAGGTAACCATGACATTAATCTCAGGTTTGAGATCTTGATCTCACCCCAGTCCCCAAATGCTTCTTTCCTCAGTTAGATGAAAGCTGAGCCAGCACGTTGGAGGTGGTGATGAATTTCATCACCTATGTCTGCATTCTTCCAAGTGGACACTCCCAAGATAAGGAAAATAGCTCACATTTCCCAGGATCTTGCTCTTTATTTAAATTTATATGGAGAAGGGGCAGGTGTGTTGCTGTGTGAATTGTTTAGAACAGGACTTTAGTTTTCTAGGTGTTTAGTGAAAAGGCCACTTTCCTGTCTGCTTCGGAGAAAGAGTCAATGATGTAGAGCTCAATTTCTGAATGAGCGCATTAAAAAAAGCATGTATCTATATACTGAAGCTCCATGGCTTCATCAGTCTCTTTGTTCTTTGAATTTAAGGTCATTTAGGTCAAACAGTTTCCCTCTCCATGTCTTTGATAAGGTGCAGCATTGAAGCAAGGAAAAATGAGCAGAGGATTTGTGCAATGACAGTTTTCATAGGTCATGAAATCCCTACAATATGGGAGCAGGCCATTCGAACCATCTAGTCCACGTGAACATCTAGTCCACGTGGCCAATCCACTTAACCTGCACATCTTTGGACGGTGGGAATAAACCAGGGGAAACCCACACAGACACAGGGAGAATGTGTAAACTCCACACAGACAGCTGGAATCGAACCCGGATCCCTGGTGCTGTGTGGCAGCAGTGCTAACCAGTGAGCCGCTGTTCAAATTAAGTTATGACTGTGAAATGGTTTATGGTGGTTCTGTTGGTGAGGTTCAGAACTTGCTTATCTTTGCAGATATAGGAGGAGGATAGTGATAAATTTATATATATATAAAATCCGAACAATTATCAATTGGACTACAGATATAGTTAAGGAGTTTCCAAGACTATGTATCTTTAGGTTTTTGAGTGTTCATCAAATCTAAACAAATGGAAGCCAAGATTTTTTAAGAAAATATAAGGAAGGAACTGTTCCTTCATTTCTTGGAGAATTTTTGGTGTTTTAGTTCAAGGGCCGTGGGCACAGCATTTTACAGTGTCTGAAGCTAGCAGAGAGTCAGAGAAAATAAGGATGGTAATAAACTAGGAAGACTAAGATTTTTGAGTCAATAGCAAAAGAAAGGAAAGGAGAGAAAAACTCCAGAAGGAAAAGAGATCAATAAAAAAGAGCCACAGGGAAACTGCAAACGGAAACAACAATCCAGAATCAGAAATTAAAATAGCAAGGAAAAACAAGCAGGAGAAGAAGGAAGCATGAGAATAAATAGCAAGTTAACAAGTTTAATCTTGGATTGTAATGTTTTGTACGTACTGGTAGAAGTTGACTACAGCCAATTATGTCAAAAGGCATTTTTTTTGCTTTGTGCATTCATGCTTGTGTGAATACAGGAAATGTACAGAGAAAAATGAAACAAAAATAGAAGAAAAAATCGTGTTCTACCGGAAACATCTGATCAGTAAATGGGAGCTCTGTATCAGCTGTAGAGACAGTTGTCTGGAGAGAAATGTTGATTATGGCCTGAAGCAAGTCAGACAATTTAGTTACAACTGTAAAATTACTGATGGCAGGAAATGTTATGTGTTTATATTTTGTGAAATATCAGATAGTTAAAATATTTTGGAGTTAATACCTTGTCATACTATTGCAGAAAGGAAATAAATAATTCGTATTTTTATACTGTCTTTCACAGCCTCAGGGTACCACAAAATGTTGATGAATCATGCTTGTGTTCTAGTCATTGATGTAATGTAATAAACATAGCTGCGAATTGGTGCATAGCAAAGCAGCACAGATTGTAATGACATCAACGGCAAGATAATCAGCATTATTGAAGGGTAAAGGTTGTACAGGACATCTGAAAACTTATCTCTTCTTTAAACAGTGGAATGGCATTTTTTTTATGTTGACCTGGAGAAAAGACAGGGACTTAATTTTGTACCTAAGATGACACTTCCAACGGTGCTGAACTTTCTCCGCACCGTAGTTATGTGTCAGCTTAGCAAATGCACTTGTTTCTCTGGAGTGGGGATTGCAACCATGAGGGGTACAGATGCTAAGGTAGGCACCTGACAACAAGGTGGAGCATAGTGCACCTGTGTTAAAGGTATCACATAGATCATTTGGGGTTCAAGAGACAATTTGTTTTTAGTTCAGACCATAGGAACAGTCGTAGGCCATTCTGTCCTGTGAGCCTGCTCCACCATTCCGTACAATCACGGCTGATCCAACATTCCTTACCTCACCTTTCCTGTACTTTCCCTGTAACCCCTGATTCCCCTACTGATCAAATATCTATCTATCTCAGCCTTAAGCATACACAAGGAATCTGCCCCACAGCTCTCTGTGGCAAGGAGTTCCAAAGACTCTCAACCCTCTGAGAGAAACAAAATCCTCTTCATCTCAGTCTTAAAATGGTGCCCATTTATTCTGAGACTGCCCTCTGGTCCTATACTCTCCCATGAGAGGAAACATCCTCTCTGCATTTTCTCTGCCAGTTGCCCCTTAAGAATCCTATATTTTTCAAAGAGATCACCTCTCGTTCTTCTAAATCCCAATGAAGAGAATCCCAAGGAGATAGTAGGAACCACCGATGCTGGAGTCTGAGATAAGAAGGTGTAGAGCTGGATGAACACAGCAGGCCAGGAAGCATCAGAGGAGCAGGAAAGCTGACATTTCAGGTCCGGGCCCTTCTTCAGAAATGGGGGAGGGGAAAGGGGCTCTGAAGTAAGTAGAGAGGAGGGGGCGGTGATAGAAGGTGGGTAGTGGAGCAGATAGGTGGGAGAGAAGACAGACAGGTCAAGGAGATGGGGAAGAAGCTAGTAGAGGTGAGTATAGGTAGGAAGTGGGGGTGGGGGTTGGTCAGTGAGGTGGGAGGAGCGGATAGGTGGGAGAGAAGACGGACAGGTCAAGGAGGCGGAGATGAGACGGGGGCGCTGGGCTTGGGATGAAGTCGGGGGTGGGGAGATTTTGAATCTCGTAAAGTCCACATTGAGACCATTGGGTTGTAGGGTTCCAAGGTGGAATATAAGGTGCTGCTCCTCCAGTTTTCAGGTGGCATCATTGTGGCATTGGAGGAGGCCCAGGATGGACATGTCGTCCAGGGAGTGGGAGGGGGAGTTGAAGTGGTTTGCGACCGGAATGTGTTGTCGAGTGTCGCGAACAGAGTGTAGGTGCTCTACAAAGCGGTCTCTGAGCCTCCGCTTGGTCTCCCCGATGTAGAGGAGGCCACATCAGGAACAGTGGATACAACAGACCACAAATAGAAACAAACTGATGTTTGCATGTGGGAATTGGCCTGGAAAGATAACTGCAGGTTAATGTTCTAACAACAGTGCAGATGCTTCAGCAATAAGATATATCATAAAGTCATGGAGTAATGCAGCATGGAAACAGGCCCTTCAGCCCAAAATGGTCCATGCTGACCATGGTGCCCACTCAGCTAGTTCCAATTGCCTGCATTTGGTCCATATCCCTCTAAACCCTTCCCATCCATATGTTTTTGAAATGTTGCTATTGAAACCTGTCTCAACCACTTTCTTTGGTAGACCATTCCATATATGCACCAATCTCTGTGTGAAGAAGTTGCCCCTCAGGTCCTTCTTAAATCTATCCCCTCTCACCTTAAACCTATGCCCTCTAGTTTTCAATTCCCCATCCCTGGGAAAAGACTATATGCATTCATCCTATCTATGCCCCTCATGATTTTATACACCACAGTAAAGTCACTCCTCATTCTCCTACGTTCCAAGGAATAAAGTCCTATCCTGGACAATCTCTCCCTATAGCTCAGGCACACTAGTACTGGCAACATCTTCATAAATTTTCCTTGCACACTTTCCAGTTTAACTATGTCTTTCCTATAACAGGGTGACTAAAACTGTACACAATACTTAAACTGTGGCCTCATCAATGACTTATACAATTGTAAACATAACGTCCCAACTCCTATACTCAGTGCCTCGACCGACGAAGGCCAGCATGCTAAATGCCTTCTTCACCACCCTGTCCACCTGTGACGCCACTTTCAATGAACTGTGTACTTGTACTCCT